TCAGGAATGATAAAGACCTCGAGTCAGGCCAAAGCCAAAGCCTAGGTGACATGGAGAGTAAATTCAGCCCTAACAATTGGTGATATGCAATATGTTTTGTTTGGCTAAACTTCAGTGCTCCCTTTGTAACTCCTTAAGCACTTTATTGATTACCCATAGCTTAATTACAAATGGCATCATCTGCAGATTGAATACTGTTACTTTAAATGGCTATACAAACCTTCTTATGCTCCCTGAATGCTGAATTCAATCATCTCACTTCACAAAAAAATGATGCTATGTGAAATCCATGGTAAGAATACTATTGAGATTTTAAACCCACTAATATATGCAACTTTTAAGCTTCATTGAAATTCCTTAACCACAGTTCATTTGATCATAGTCTATTGTAGCCTATCTCTCCAAAAAATAGTCACTCATCTGCTTTCTGTCCAGTTTAAGGATTCAGCTTGTGAATGGTCGTTTTGGGGAATTGATGATAATAATAATAATAATAATAATAATAATAATAATAATAATAATAATAATAATAATAATGATAATAATATAACCAACATATAGCTAACATTTTGTTCAACCAGTTTCTCTTGACATTGCAGTGAAGCCTACTTTCTGCAAAGGAAACAAATCTTTATCAAATCCCCATTCTATGCCTTTCAATAATAAACCAAGCCCATTACCTCACGGAAGCTTTTGTTGGCCCTATACAAGAGAGAACAAAATGGTTATTCAGGAGAACGCTTTAGATTTTTATAGTGGGTAGAATTCACAAAGAGCAGTGTTATTGTATTAAAAAGAACCATCTGTACCAGAAACAATGGCTTCAAATTATCTCTGAATACCCACTGAAAAATATAAAGCTTTAGCTTCTCATTATGTGCGGTGTAAGGGGAGGTGGGGGGCGGGGGGGGGGGGTGAAGCAGACTTGGTATAACTGACTTTTGTTGTTCTTGATGCATTCTTCTCGTTTTAAATCGGCCCCTTTTCAGATTGTGTGTAACCATAAACGGCTTTTCTTCTTACACGGTTAGCGAGCAAAGGACCAGCGTTCAGCGAGGAGCATGAGCGGCAGTACGCTGAAGTAGGAGCACTGGCTCTTGTAAAATATCTGCGGACTACTGGGCTAGTAAAGAGGGAGAGATGCCCAGAGAGCATACAGCTGTTTCGGTCGAGCGAGAGCGAGTTCTCCGGCGGCGGAAGAGTGGTTATTGAATCGGACAGATGCTGTTCCATCCTCTTTTCTGCCAATCACCCAAAGATGAGGACAACACCCAGTGGTCCGGGGACAGTGAAAAGCAGCATGCGCGTATGCAACAGCAGTGTGAGAGTATCGCATTAAGAGCTTCAGTGGTTCGTTGTTTCTTTTTCCATTGATGTATCGGACATAATTTAAAGCTTGCTCAACACTCGCAAACATTCGATTTTAAGTAGATTTTCTATTATAGCCTAACTATCCAAAGTGTAAGTGTTTTTTGGTTTGTTTCTTTTGTAGGCTACTGGCTTTGTTTGTTTTGTAGACTACTGGTTTAGAATTGTCCAATTATATTTTTGGGACATTTTGTTTGGTTTATGAAATTCTCCTCATTCCTCAGCAGAAGTAATGTTTGATCTTTAGCCTAAACACTGCTCTCAATAATTTTCTAGATTGTTTAATTTGGACTTGATCTATTCTGGCCAACTTGCTGAGAGTAGGCTGTCATCAATAAATAGGCCTATTGAAACATCACACTTGTCAAAGGGTTGGTCCAAAGTAAATGTAAAAAATATATTTATCAATTTCTGACTCTATACCTACAATACTGATTTGGAGTTTGGAGTTAAAATAAAAATATACCAAATTAGAGAGAAATCATTAAAATATTGTTTTGCTAAAGTTAAGCTAGTCTAAGAATATTAGGTTTAAAATTGCACTCTTTAAACGTCCACTCCCTGTCCCTTTGGTATTTCATAGGCTATATGTATTGAGTGCTCAGAAGGTAATATTTTCTTTGGTGTACTGCTCTCCAATCACTGGCACGGCCCCTAGTGGACAATAATATGAAGCTTGGAGATTCATAATTCTATATATTTTCTTACCTGAAGTCTCTCTCTCTCCGAGAAAAGGAAGGATCTGTTGAAAAAGTAAACCCATTTATTAAATCAACATATTACATCCAATTAGTAATATCAGGGCTGATTTGGTTATGTTGGATTATATTGAGTAAATATTGACTTTTAAGGAGCAAGTGTGATGGGAGATTGCGTAATAAGTTAGGCTATAGGCCTAAGGGTTATTATGGCAGGCTTGGATTTATATCGGGTGAGGTGTCCATTTTGAAAGGGAGCAAAAGGTGACTACATTTTTGAGAAGGGGAGGCTATAGTCTTTTCAAAAAAACAATCTATAACTGATTCCCTCTTTAAGACATTTCCACACTCATTATGTTCAAGAGTTGATAGGGATAGGCCTGAATTTAATGTTTGTGCTTAATTTACCATGAATTGCAGTGTTTTTCTTTTTTAGTTTATACATAAATAAAATAGCCTATACATTTGTTATCATGCCTTTTGCTCCGTCCACCCTTCATTACAAATATGGTTTATATGCTGCAAACATTAGTAGAGGTTGGTTTGGTCTCGAGTGCCCGAATGGTGTTTGCCCGCAATTCTGTTAGTTGTCAGTTTGCTAATTACAAATGCAGGGAAACTCCTGTTAAGTATTCTTCATTATGTTGCAGACTCCCGCTGTTTCTTTCACATTACCATAAGCAGATTACAAATAGCGGGGAACACACTCATATGCAGATAGAGGAGAGGGCTATTTCTAACTTGCATTATAATGGTCTGGTCTGCTGTAGCCTAGGCCTACCTATCACCACATCTCACCCAATTACTCCAAATGTTAACCTTTTCAATATGGTGGTAATAAACGATGTACCAATTTCTATATCATTTAAATAAGTAGTGATGTTTGATGAAATGTACAAAATAGGCCTATAATTATTTTATTTAAAATATAATTTTATGTAATATTATAGGTTAAGCATTGTAGATGTATATTACTAAAATGTTTAAGATTTTGTATTTACAAGCTCACAAGAATGTGTCCTAAAAATACAATCTATAAAGTGTCTAGTTTCTCGATACATATAGGCCTATTTGATGCTTTTCCAGGATTTCCAGCATCATTCATTGACAACTGTTCTACCATAAGCGTGAATGTAGCCTACAAAATGAAAAAGCATTATCAGTATACTAATGTAGTTGGTAGCCTATACAAGTTATATTATTACAGTGCACAACAGAATAAATTAGCGTATTAGGCTATAACAGTGTTCCATGACACCTTTTAGGTTCATAAATGTGTTTTTGCTATTGTCTATTTCGCCAGCAGACGGCGCTGAAGGCATGTAACAACGTGGCTTCATCTGTCTGTTTGGCTCATACCTAACCTTTTGGATATAGCCTATGTGTGAATTTAGATATGTATAAACACGTGCTTTTACTGGACACATAGGGGCTTGTTACTGTATTTCGCTTCTCATATTCTATCAGCTGTTGTAGCTCACATTTAAAATGTAAATTAACCATCAGATCATCAACAAATAAAAACAATTGTATAGGCCTATTTAAAACATTTATCAATCCTATGGGAGTTTTAATAATGCCAATTGTTGATGTTATGGGTTGAAAACCTATGGGCAAAATTGCGTGTTATTTTGGCCTGTCATTGAAGTAGTGACCACTCTTGGTCATATTGTTAGTGAGTAAACCTTTTTTGTTTACTCACGTCTTGTGACTAAATGAATTTCAACAACAAAGATCTTAACAACGGAATGGAAGTTAGGCTATATGTAGTCATGCTTTTGTTCGGGCTTATGTACTGAAAACACCCGAAACAAAACTAAGCAACTTATTTGTGATGGGCATGTCTCCGTTTTCTGTTGGCATTCAACTTCAGTTCAAGTGAAGCTCATCCATTTCAACAATGGGGAAACAGCTAAGATTACCTATCCCCTTTTCAGTGCAAAAACCGAGCTGAACTTGCTGATCGGTTCCTTTTATGTTAAGTTAACTCAAAACACTAATATTTATTTCATGGATAGCTACACATCGCCTAATTACTAACAGAAAAGGAATAACATCACCCTTATTGCTATAGCCTCTTACAACTAGACTACTACATTCACAACTATTACTACAACTGTTACTATGGCCTAATGACAGTTACTATGGCTAGGATATTTGTATGTTTAAGTTTTGATTGATTTTGCCCCATTTACTTTGCCCCTGTTTAGTCGTTGAACATTTAAAAAAAATCACAATATAGCCTAGAAATAGCAAACATGATATAAAGACACATTTACATTTGATTCAGTAAAGATGAAATATCTAATGAAGTTTAAAATGTTATTTATTATTCTCAGCAACTTTTGAATGTTGGCTTAAAATAATAGCCAACATAATTAAATGTATCCTACTGTATAATTTCTGGAGCTTGTAATCCTTCGATTTTCAGTAGGAAGCACTTAAAGTTAGCCATCCTAGTGAAATGTTTCCACTTAAAGCACTTGCAATAATAAATATATAGCTGAGGCCTATTGGTTGATAACAGCAGCATCTGCCTCTGTGCTCCACCACTGACCGCAAGTAACCCCGCCCCTTTATGATAAATAAAAGACACAATCCTGGCGGAGGGAACAGTCGCTCTGTGATTGGTCAGGTAAAAAGGCATTTATTCCCTGACAGCCCTCATCACATGAATGGTTGTCTATTAACTTGTTCAAAAAGTATCAGGAGTTGTCAAAGCTCTGGCGAAGAGGGAAAAGTAGTTTGTTGATTCTTTGAGACCAAGAGAGAAGTTTGTGGACACAACAGGACCTACTGGCTGAAAGCAAAAAGACGTTTACTATTTCTACAAAGTTACTGAAAACGACAAGGTAACTCCAGCTAACTACCTTTGAGTTGGACTTTTTTAATTGGTCGGGCAAGTTTCATAAAAATCTGTTAATAATGTATAACATGATGGAAACTGAACTGAAACCCCCCGCACCCCAGACAAATTCTGGGGGTACTGGGAATTCAAATTCATCTGGAAACAACCAGAAAAACAGTCCAGACCGAGTCAAGAGACCCATGAATGCCTTCATGGTTTGGTCGAGGGGACAACGAAGAAAGATGGCACAGGAAAACCCCAAAATGCACAATTCGGAAATAAGCAAAAGACTTGGGGCGGAGTGGAAGCTTCTATCTGAGAGCGAAAAGCGACCTTTCATTGACGAAGCGAAGCGTCTCCGTGCTCTCCACATGAAGGAACATCCGGATTACAAATACAGACCCCGGAGGAAAACCAAGACGCTGATGAAGAAGGACAAATACACTCTGCCAGGTGGGCTTCTTGCACCGGGCGGCAATGGCATGGGCGCGGGAGTGGGTGTAGGGGGAAGCTTGGGCGGTGGGGTTAATCAAAGGATGGACAGTTACGCACATATGAACGGCTGGACCAATGGAGGTTATGGCATGATGCAGGAGCAGCTTGGCTACGGGCAGCACCCTGGTTTAAACGCTCACAACAACGCGCAGATGCAGCAAATGCACCGCTATGACATGAGCGCACTTCAGTACAACTCCATGACTAACTCCCAGACCTACATGAACGGATCACCCACGTATAGCATGTCCTACTCACAGCAGAGCACTCCTGGAATGACTCTGGGCTCCATGGGTTCGGTGGTCAAGTCAGAGTCCAGTTCCAGTCCCCCCGTAGTCACGTCGTCGTCTCACTCCAGGGGTGCTCCGTGTCAGACAGGAGACCTACGGGACATGATCAGTATGTACTTACCGGGCGCTGAGGTGCCGGAGCAAACTGCCCAAAGCAGACTCCACATGTCCCAACATTACCAGAGCGCACCTGTACCCGGCACGACGATCAATGGCACACTCCCATTATCACATATGTAAATTAACTTTTATAAGAGAAACTGGACTACTTTGGACTATTTTTGTACAGAAAATTTGGGGTGGGAAAAGTTGTATAGAACTCAAGGAAAGAACATAAAACTTTTTTGTCTTTCTATTCGAAAGATAAGTTCTAGAGGAATGATAGGAACTCTGCAAAGGTTTTTCAATGATGTATAAGTTTGGAAAGTAGAAAGTGGGAGAGTCTCAATCAGATGTTTTATTATTGCAATCACCTTTTGTACAGTATTTATCAAAGAAACATAACAATCAGATGTAATGTTTGTAAACTACAAGAGGTTACATTTTTATAATCAGAAAGTCTGCAGAAAAGAAAACGTCAGAATTGAAATTGAGTACAAGATGCTCCTAAAACTGCAAACATTGGAATAGCGGGAGTAAAAGCAAAGCAGGTAAATGTTTCTCCTTGAGGGTCATTAGTACTAAACCATTTTAATTTCCTTAAAAAAAAAAGAAGAAGCAGAAACCTTTCCTTGCAGGTTAAGCATAATTGTTAATTTATATTTTGTCTCCCACTTTTCATCTGTTAGAGGTATAAAGTTTGTGTTCTTTATTTTCTAATGATTTGTACGATTTATGTATATTTACTGTGATATTAAGTTTTTATTTCAAATTTCATTCCCGTAGTTGTATTTTAAATTTTGGCCTGTACACAGTTGCCAACACTTCATGTATATATATATTCGAACTAATATCATCATTATAACAGTTACAATTTCAGCTGAGTTTTTTCAATATGCAGTTTGAAATGAATAAATTTTTGAAATTTGGATACTTGAAATTGTATGAGTTTTGATTTTATTTATCATTTAATTCATTAGATAAGATTGTCATCCACGCTAAATTTGTTGTGGATTGACCATGCTTTGTATTGCATTTATGTTATTCATGTTGCATCAATATTTATTAATCACATGATATGGTAGAACTTGATAGCCTTTCATATTCTGTCATATTTATTATATTTTTCTTTTTTTACAATCCAAGGAAACACAGGAATATAATACATCTATAACATGCTAAATCTTAAATCATATCTCATCAGAACTATCAACAAAGACAAAATCAAAGCAAATCATTTTATTGTGCGTATGCTTCTGTGTGCACGCGCACGCGTGCATGCCTGTGTTTCCTATGCTTTGTCATTTTACATATTTAGATGATTAAGACTCAGGTTAACGACGTTTTAATTTTTTTGTGAAAGGACCTATGCGCCTAAGGATTACGAAGGACTACCATGCAAGAGTTTGTTGCCTGTAAACCTATGCTTTGAGGGGAAGATTATTCGCCCAAAATGTTCAAGATTCTCACCAAGGTATTCGTTCATTTTATATTTTTCAATAATCAATACACTCATCATTTGATTTATTTTAATTACATTTTCTATTTGAGAACAGGTTTGTTCGGGGCATGCATATTATTTAAAACAGGCCTATACGGATTTGAATTAAGTTTACCTCTCGTGGATCAGAAAATAAAGTTTGAGTGTGACAACAGCGGCTGGATTATGAAGGCATGTTTGTAGTATCGATCATTTAAAATGTAATAACATTAAAGGCTCTTGATATATGAATATAGATAGACCCACTGAGCAACAACGAAAAAAAAATATTATTTTACAAGTAGGCCTATTGTTATAGGCCTACTTGTCTTGAAAGCATAGGCCTACTTGTCTTGAAAGCATGCACCACATTAACAGTATTTTTCATTGTGCGGTTTAATGCCGCTCCATATTAATTTGATTATTCGTTTAGTATCCAATTGTAAGACTGACTTACACTAAATGTAGCCTGTCTGATGACTAAATCAAATGGAAAGTATTTCTGCAAAGAATCAAAAGACCCAAACAACTCAAATAATTTTCACTCAGAGGCCTAGCCTAAATACTGTAGCTCCATCTTCGAGTGGCCATTGAATTCACTGTTTATTCAAATTACGATTTCGCTTAACCATGGTTCACACCGTTCATGTCCATGGGTCGATGGGCATACCTTTTAAAAAAATCCTGTGTTCGCACTGTCATCTGTTGTTTCTAAAAAATAAAAATAAAGATAGCCCTAGATGAGATTATGGATCATGCCTTGAATATAACAACGGTTTAAATCTGGGGTTGTTAAAAACATTTTTTTTTTCTTCTGAACTGTAGAGGTAGATTTGCACTGTTGCTTGCCAAGGCTGGGAGCTTCTATTACACTAGGTCTCAGGGGAGAGGAGCTCACATTAATCGCTAAATGAATATTTGACGAGGGCTCATTTCAAAGTATTATTCGACAAACGTGTCCCTACCGGACTTTCAAGGGGTCAGGGAGCAGTGGTTCAATTAATTATTTATACAAGCAGTAGAATTGGTTGTAATAGCTGAACATGTTTCATAAACTAGGATTTTTAAAGGTCGAGTGTGTAAAGGTTTTTATTTTAATGTAATGGCAGCAGGATTGGCCAATGTCATCATATGTGAAATATTTAAGTATGAGCGTTTAGCTTTAGTTTCATTAGTGTTTTTTTGGAGATTGGTAGAAAAGACACATTTGATAGCCTATAAGCATTTTACCTTTAAAGTCTATTGCAAACATATAAGTGAAAAACATTCATGAAAATATTAACGGAGCACGTTTTAGTAGAGGTGTCGACTATATTCCCATTAGTTGTGATAAGGTACAGGGCATGAACTAGCAATTATATTAGGCTACTGGACCTATTGAACTTGAGACTTTTGTGTTGGACTTCCATTGAGAGACTCACGTTTTCTACACATTGAATAAGGGATATAATGCTTTTTCTATTCCCTGGAGGACCAGTAATAAGTCAAGGAATCACCCTGTTGGCTCACCACAGTAGGAGGAAAGTATAAAAGAGGAGTGTTTAAATTTATTTTCAATTGCGTGATTTAATCTCAAAGCGCTCAATGGTGCGCCTACGTTAAAACTGCTGGTTTTTGTTCAATCCTCTCATGTTTTGAATGCTTGGGCGTAGGCCCCCATATGCTTGGATATAGGCACTCATAAAAAATTGACAACTAAATATATCGTTTTGTGTGATTTAGGATAACAGCAGTGTATAAGAAGAGGACCCAATGGTTCCAAAAGGCCTGGTTTTGCTCCACCGCCGTCCAACCAGAGGCTGCCGCAGCTATTTGGACAGCAACAGGTGGTAAGCGCACTATGTTTTGCTCATAGTAAAACCCCTCAGATATTATCTTTTGATATCTTTGTGAAATGACACGCTCTTCCTGGAAAGTAATTATCATAACATATGAGGGCCCAACGTGTATAAACACATGTTAATCTAGTGTCCAGATCTCATTCATATGGGTAGGAAGATATAGCCTACGGCAAGAGACCTCCATATTTAATCAGATATAGGCTATGTAATATTTGTAGGGCTATATACATTTTTGTAGTTAATAAAATGTATATTGTTTGATAAATGATATAAACACGGGAGAGATGTGTCCCATAGTGTTCTCTGATCCAGAGGTAGTGGAATATGCGCACAAGTAATGGTCGCCAACTAGGCTTCTAATCCAACCCCCAAATCAGTTACCAGATTTAGCCTACTGATAGTACGGAGCAATGACGTCACATGTAGTAGATTGGTAAATAGAGAATTTCCTTTTCGCCTTGGGTAATATTTAGTTGGACACACCATGTGCGATAGTATGTGTTCTTATAACATATCATGTATTGAATAAAACATAGCCTATTTAAGGAAATGTGGATAAAAGTAATAGCATAGACAACAGGAATAGGCATAGGTCTACGCGTATCACTATAAGCCTACCCCTTTATTTCAATTGGTGGCATAATGGATTTTGAAATATATATTTTATTATTTATTAGTATTGTTGATGTTGTTTTATTGTTGTTGATATTTCTACACACTTATTAGGCTATTTCTGCAGGAAAATATGTCTCGTTATGCACATCATTGGGTCTATCCATTGATAGCATTCTAACTAATAGCTACAGTGTAAAGAAAACTACTTTTCTCTATAGTAATGACTTTTCTCGCTTTCTCTGCTGTAGTTTGAGAAGTTGGGGGTTGTAGTGGACGGATATATGTGGGAGGATGCAGCATTGTGAGATTCGTTGAATTGAAATCTGTCAGAGATGCTGTCTATTTTAAGTCTCTCGTGGGGTGAATGGCAGTCGCTCCCTGATCCAGTGCAGGTGCAGGGAAGCAGGGGGACCGGGGTCTCTCTGCGCGGCCAAAATGCGCATTCTGTTCAATAGACCACACACTGTCAGCCAGCATGCCATCATCTCTGCGCCTCTCACACATTCTCAGTGCAATGCAGGCCTTACCGAGCCGAGAGCACGCACTTTCAGCTCGCCAGCAGATATAACGACATAGCCTACACAAGCGTGGGACCGAATGACTCTCAGGATTGTTAATGCTCACTTTTTCTGTTTTTATCACTAATGTTTGATAATGAAAGGTTTATAACCATATGAAAATGCGTGCTTTGAGAACATCACACATTATTTGAAAACATTCTTCAAGTTATTTCCGTTTGATTGATATGGTGTGATCATATCCCACTGGTAAAAAACTGGTTGAATCAACGTTGTTTCCACGTCATTTCAACAGCAAAAAAATCAATGTGATGACGTTGAATCAACGTAGACGACTGATTTGGATTAGAAAAAAGTCATCAATGTAACGGAATTTCGTAATTTTTTCAGCCAACATTTAACCAAAATCCAATGACATGGTGACATTTTTTTGTTGATTTCACGTTGAATTCACATGAGTTAACAACTCAACCAAATGTAAATCAAAACTAGACGTTGAACTGATGTCTGTGCCCAGTGGGATGTTATTAATAACAATAAAATGTCGAACCCTCTTTTTCTCAATTATCACCATGGCCATTTAGTTGTTTTCGATTCTGGACACACCCTAATTTGATGGATGGTGGGTTTTAAATTCTAGAACAGCGACCCTAAACTCATTACATATTCTGGTTTCTAGGAGAGACG